AAGAATTTAGTATTATTAAAAATAACTGAATAAAAATCTACTTAGATAAAAATATAATTTTAAGAGAAAATTTTAAGAATATAAGTTTTTAATTTTTTCGAGGAAAAGTTTCTTTCAACCGTTGATCACAATGTGAATTTTACTAAAAAAAATGTTTGAAAATTTCAGAGATTTTCTATTTTAATAAAGTTAAAATTAAATTTAAATTTATTAAGTAAAAAGTTAATTCCATAAAAATTCAGTTAAATGGAAATTTAGTTTAAAATTGTCACAGGAAAATCATAAATTTTATCAAAATTACTAGAAAATTATCAAACTTTTAGAATTACAATAAAAATTTAAGTCTTTTAAATGTCGAAAAATATTTTTTGAAAAATTAAAAACTTTGAATTCTTCTGGAATTTTTTTTCACTTTATTTTTTATTTCTAGAAATAATGAAATTTATTTTAAATATTTATATTCTTTCAAGCAGATTAATTGAAATTTTGTGGAATAAAATTGAAAATATTTAAACTCGTAACAGAATTTCATTAAAACTTTTAAAAAATTGAATTTTCAAAAAATTTTATTTAAAATTATTAAAAATTACGCAGTTTTTAATTTAATTGTAATTTCCTACAATTTTATGAAAAATAATTGATTTAAATAATTTTTTTAAACTTATTATTAATTTAAATTTTGAATTATTAATTTTAAATTATTTAAAAGAATCATTTTACTTAAATTCCAAAATAATTGAATTTTACGAAAGTTGCCTTGACAATTCTTATAAATAATTGAATTTCAAACAGTTATACAATTGGAAATTTAGGAAAATTTAAACTTGAAATAATTTCAGTTAGACTTTCTTTTTTTTGTTAAATAATTGAATTCTCAGAGAACTTTTTCAATAATTATTAAAAATAATAAGTGAATTTCAGAAGATTTTAATTTGAAATATTAGAGATTTTTCGATTGTAAATAATTTAAATTGGAATTCTGAAAAGAATTGAAAATTTGAATAAAGAGATTTTAAAAACTAACGTTTTTAAAAACTCTTTATTTAAATTTTCAACTATTTTCCAACAGAAAATTTAATTTAAATTAAATTTTTAAATATGTAGGTAATTGAAAAATGTTCAAACAATTAAAATTTCGTAGGAATTGAATTGTAAATAATTTAAGAATTATTTTAAGTGATAAATTAATGATAGTTAAAATAATTGACTATTTTGTTTGAATAAAATTGAATTCTCTGAATCAAATTTTTAATTATTTTTGAGAATTCAAAATTTTAGTTAAAAATTTCAAAAATAATTCAATTATATTATAAGAATTGCGTTTACAACTTTTGTAAATGATAAATAATCTAATTTTGAAATAGGTTTCAAATGGAAATTTTCGAAAATTTTTAAAGAGTCAGGAAGAAACTAAATTTTTGTAACAACCCTTTTGTTAAATTTTAATTTTTTAAAATAGAAATTCATTAAAACACATAAATGTAATTGAGTAATAATTTCGTGAGATAAAAATTTATTTTAAAGGAAAAATGTTAAGAAAAATTTTTTGTATTCTGCGAGAAAAATTTTTCTTTCATTGTCAATCATTCGTCTGTGTAAATACTTTGTAAACACTAGAAGAAAAAATGCAATCAATTTCCAAAAATGCAATTTTTGTGAGAAAATATTTTTTTCTGTTTTTACATATTAGTTAAGAAATTTTCGCCTTAAAATGAAAAACAAACAAATATTTGTAAAAGAAAATTTCAAGTATCGGTAATATTGGAAACATCAAAGTTAAAAAAAAAAAAATAACGAAATACTTGCGTGACAATTGTAGCGTTACTAACAGACAATGTTATTTACGAAAATAAATTATTGTTCCTCTTTGATAGTTCACAAAACGATGTTCCATGGGGCATTCAGTTTGAACAATTGGATTCTCTCGTCATTTTGAATTTGTGACCCATGACGGACGAATGATTATTGTCGTTCAACGCTATATGTTGTGTAATGCACTTTCGATACGCGTACATTACGATTTATGATTGTCATTCCACAAACTATAAAAAAAAAATTTTATCCATTTTCTTTTTTTTTTTTTTTTTCTTTTTTGGAAAATTCTCGGGGAAAAAGCGACGCTAATAAACGAACAGCTGCGTGTATGCGTTAAGAAGCGCGGAAATCCTAAGGCCCACAAATTTTTTTAGTTTCAAACAAAATTTTTTTTTTTGTAAAAAATGAGAAGGGGAAGAAAATAAGAGTAGGAAAAGGTGGAAAAAAAAGTGGGGTAAAAAAATGGAACACAGGAATCGATCATAGTTGAAATATTTTTTTTCTCTTCTTATCCTTTTCTTCTGATTGACTCTTTGATCCTGTTGTGTGTACAGGTATAATCCATAGATCTTCGACCTATAGGTAAAGTGAAATTCGTTTGATTAATCCCAAAAGTCAAACTTCCGCTTTACTTTGAATGAATCACTCCTCGTCCTCGTACACATTGTGTGTGAATCCCCCTGCTGCTTTCGAATATACCTTTATTAAGGCAAATCATTCATGGTCCAAGGATAAGAGGATTAAATATTGCATAAATGAAATTTATATGCTACCCAGTACCCATGGGATTTGACAATTTTTATCGATTATGTATATTCAAAAAAAATGAAAAGATAATATAACGTATTGCGTATTCCATTTTGCGAGTTTCAATTTGGAGTTAATTTTAAAGGACTGTTGTGGATTTTTTTTTTCGTCACGAGTGCTGAGTAAATGAATAGGACTTTTTTTTTCATAGGAACCCTTTTTTTATATGGAGATTTGACAAATTTGTCGGTGTGGAAAATTTTTGATGGGTTGATGCATAAAAAATGGCATTTCTGTTGAATGGGCTTGGATGAATAGTTTATTTGCGGATTTTGATGGAGAAGTTACTGATTTTGAATTATCTTTTTAAAAATTTATTTGCGTTGGGGAGAAAATAATTTTTGGAAATTTTACACATCGGTGAATTTCACAAGGTTTATAATTGTCGACGATTCTGTAGGGAAGAAATATTTTTTTATGCAAATTTTCATTGAAATTTTTGTTTGATATTTTTTCTGTGAAAATTTTTATGGTGATTTTAGAGGGAAAATTTTTTTTCTCAATGTTTTGTAGACATTTTTTCTATAGAAATTTTGGTTTCAAACTTTTTTCTATGCAAATTTTCTATAGAAATGTTGTCTATAGACATTTTTGTTGGAAAATTGTTTCTATGGAAATTTTTATAGAAATTTTTGTTAAAAAATGTTTTCTATAATTGTTTTAAAATTGTTTCTATGGGATTTTTTTTTAGAAATTTTTGTTTAAAAAGTATTATAGAAATTTTTTTTGAAAAATTATTTCTACCAAATTTTTGTTGTAAATTTTTTCTTTAGGAATTTTTGTTGTGAATTTTTTCTTTAGAAATTTTTGTTTGTAAAATTTTTTGTATGGAAATTTTAATAGATAATGATGTTTGAAATTTTATTTTCTGCTATTTTTGTATAAAAATTTTGTTTGTAAATTTTTCTAAAGAAATTTCTTTAAAAACTTCTGTTTGGCAGTTTTTTTTCTCAAATTTTTATATAAATTTTGGTTAAAATATTTTGTCTATCAAATTTTTATATAAATTTTTGGTTAGAAATTTTTGCCATGCAAATTTTAATAAGAATTTCTGTTTAAAATTTTATTTCATGCAATTTTTTATAGAAATTATGTTTTACACTTTTTTCTATGCCGATTTGTATAGAAATATTTGTTTAAAAATTGTTTTATAGAAAATTTTGTCTGAAAATTTTGCAAATTTTAATAGAAATAGTTTGAAAACCGTTTCGAAGCAAATTTTTGCAGAAAGTTTTATTTAGAAATTTTTTCTTATCAAATTTTAATAGAAATTTCTGTTTAAAATTTTATTTTATTCAATTTTTTATTGAAATTAAGTTTTAAACTTTTTTCTGTTCACATTTTTATAGAAATATTTGGTTATATTTCAAATTCAAATTCAAAATACAAATATTCAAATTCAAAATCTAAAGAAATTTTTATAGAAAGTTTTGTTTGTAAATTTTTTTATTCAAATTTTTATATAAATTTTTGTTGGAAAACTTTCTAGAGAATTTTTCTTTAGACATTTTGGCTTGAAATTATATTTTATTCAATTTTTGTTTATAAAAGATTGTTGGACAATTTTTTAAATTTTTTTCATGCAATTTTTTTATTAAATTATTGTTTGTAAATTTTTTCTATGAGAAGTTTTGTAATTAGAAGTCAAAATATTTTTTTATTTAAATTTGTATAAACTTTGTTCAAAATTTTTATAAATAATTGAATTTCACTGGTTTTTAAATTTGAAACTTTTGAAAATCCTAATTCTTGTGAAAGAATAATAATGATTAACTAAAAAATCAGGAGAAAAATCATAAGGATAAAAATTGTAAAAAGAGAAAAACAGGGTAAAATGAAATGAACTTTTTGTTGCAATTTTAACTTTTTTTGTTTAGAAATTTTTAAGTTTGAAAATTTGTTGTTATTTTTACAATAATTATTACTAAAATTTAGTAAAAAAAATAGAAAAAATTACTAAAACCTATTTTGAAAATTATTAAAATTGAATTTATTTGTGTTTGCATTTTCAAACAAACATTAAAACTGAATTCGGAAATAAAAGACCAAATTAAAAAAAAAGAAAAAAGAAAGAGAATTTTTTTTCTATTCCACCAACTTTCTAAATCAATAGCATCTAAAATTAGTGAAGATGTTCAAAATTCAAATCTCGATCAGAAAGTAAAATAAGCAAAATAACAATGTTAAAATTCTCGAGCAGGGAAAGTGAAAGTTAAAAAATAAAAAGAACAAAAGGGTGAATAATATTGGCTGAGTGCCGCTTTTTAGAGATTTGTATCTTATTTGTTCGCTTTTGTATAATCAAGTAACTTTTGACAGTGCTTCTTTTTTCTAAGATGAAAACGAGTATAACACGTCTTATTCTTGTGATGTTCTAGTTTGATGCCCTGCGTGTGGAAGGATACGAGGAGGAGACCGTTGCATTTATTTCTTGGGTCGAAGTTGAAGGGAAGAAATCAAAAATGGATATACATAAGCGCGCAACCTAAAGAAAAGGAGAAGCAGCAAACTATAGAAAAAGAAGAAGAAGAAGAAGGATAGAAGAAGACCTTGCTGCAGAGATTCAAAAGAGATTCTCCAGAAGGGCTTCTTTTCGGTTGTCTCGCAGCTGTCCTTCGCCCTCTGCCTCCCTCTATCTCCCCCCTTGGGGTTTTTTCTTCTTTTCTTCAAAATCAAATATACCTACGACGACGACGACAGCAGGAGAAGTTTTAGGAGAGTCTCGAGGAGGAATAGAATAAACTTTTTTTTGGGGTAAGAAATAAATACATATATATTTTTATGTAGAATACGATTTACCGTTTTAGATTCGTCGCGTGGTACGAAGAAAATGTGTCAGGAATACTCATATAGTGATTCGAATGAGGGGGATATGGAAAAGTTTTCTTCAAAAAACCTTGGCCTAGGGTAAAATTGTTTTGTTGACTCTTCTTGATTCGCCCCCTCTTTTCGCTATAATAGGAATGAATCTATTACGTAATTCACTCATTTTTCTCTTTTCAAGTTTGTTTCCACAGTTGTGAAAATAGAATGTTCTTTTCTTAATAGGACATCCGGATTTTTTGCTGAAACATTTTTTTCTCTTCTAGATACATTTTTGGAATTATTTAAATTTTAGGAAAATAAAACGAACACCGATTTTTTTACAATTTTTAATATTCTTATTTTCATTTTTATTATTTTTGTATTTTTTTATTTACATTTTTATTTTTATTTTTATAATTTTAATTATTATTTCTATTTTATTGTGTTTTATTTTCAGTTTTATTATATTTTTTATTTATATTTTTATTTTATTTTTAATTTTTATTTGAATTTTTATTTTATTTTTTTATTTTTCATTTTTATTATTTTATTTTTAGTATTATATTCGAAGAAGCGGTTTCTAATAAAAATCTGACCCAACGTTTCGAAATCTAAACGATTTCCTCATCAGGGAGTCTTTAAAAATAAACAATAAACAAGAAGAATAAGAATTAACAAAATAAAAAAATGTGCCAAAAAGTAAAAACAACAGTTTATAAATTATAACGACAGATTTTAATTAAAAATATAAAAGATGTTTATTACCTATAATTGGAAATAATCTGTTCACTATATGAAGTTAGTTGCTGTTTGATTTTTTGATTCGTAACTATTGAAATAATTTTACTTTTTAAATGTTTTCAATTTTAAAATTAATCTACTAAAAATCATTGAATTCTTGCAAAGTATTTATAAAAAAATTTGACAATAATTGAATTAATTTCAAGAATTTTCTCAAAATTATTTCAATAATTGAATTCTTTCGAGAAAATTTAATTAAAATTGTATTGGAAATAATTAAATTGGTTTGAAAAATTTATTTAAATTTTCTTGAAAATAATGGAGTTTTTTAAAAATACTTTTTACTGAAAATTTTGAAAGTAATTGAAGATTTATTCATTTATTTTATGAAGATTTTATTTTAAGTTTTTAAAAAAATCTTGTTTATTTTTAATTGTAATTAATAATTTTCCTATTAAATTAAATATTAAAATTATTCATAGAAAATGAAATATTTTTAAACAATTTTATTAGAGTTTTAGTAAATAATTACATTTTTTTTTAAGAATTTCATTAAATTTCGTAAAAATAATTACATTTTTTAAAATAATTTTAATTGAAAATTTTGAAAATAATTGAAATTTACAGAGAATTTTATTAAAAACTTTTGAGAACAATTGAATTGTTTAGGAAATATTTTATTACAATTTTTAAAAATAATTGAACCTGTTAGAAAAATTGTATTAAAATTATCTTGAATATAATTGAATTTTATCCTAGAAGTTTGATTAAAATTGCATTGAAAATAATTGAATTTTTCAGAAGAATTTTATTATTTACAAAAATAATTGAATTCCTCCGAAACATTTTATTATTTATGAAAATAATTGATTTCCTTTAAAGAATTTTATTATTAATGAAAATATTTTAATTTTTTCGGTGATTTTTTTTATTTATGAAAATAATTGAATTCTTGTGGAGGATTTTCTTATTTATGAAAATAATTTAATTCTTAAGGAGGATTTTCTTATTTATGAAAATAATTAAAATGTTTCGAAGAATTTTATCTGAATTTTTTAAAATAATTGAATTTTTTTAAGAACGCGAATCTTAACTGAAAATGAAAAAGAAAACGAGGTTTTAAAGAATTTTTGCTTATTTGCAGTTTTGAATTAAAAAAGAAATTTATGTTTCCATGAAATAGAATTTTTCGCTGAGGCGAAAAATTCGATTTTATGGAAACATAAATCTCTGCTGTTAAAATTAATCCAATTTCACACAGAAAGAATTGAATTGTTTCGAAGAATTTTATCTGAATTTCTGAAAGTAATTGAATTTTTTAAAGGATTTTATTAACAATATTGAAAGTAATTATTTTTTTAAAAAGAATTTCATCAAAAGTGTAAAAAATAACTGAATTTATATTAAGATTCTTGAAAATAATCCAATTAAATTAATATTTTTAAAAATAATTGTATTCTTTCGAGAAATTTTATTAAAATTGTATTGAAAATAATTGAATTGCTCTAAAAAATATTATTATTAACTTTTGAAATTAAAACAATTTGTGATATTGCAGTTATTTGTCGCAGGCGATTCGTGCCTAAAATCCGAAAACAATGATTTCTTCATGAATAATAATTGTAAGGAATGAAGAATAGAGAGAGATTTGGCTTAAAACTCGGTCAGATTCGAAAAAAGGTTGATAAAGCTGGTGTTGTTGGAGACGACAGATTGCCTGCTGCCGCACTTTCTGCCGCTACACGACTGACTCCTTGGAATCAGAGATTTCAGGCCAGAAGGTCTGCTTTTATCGACGAAAGTAGAGGGTTGCCGAAAAAAATATAATAGAAAATCTGGTTTATGGGACGCCGTCTTATTATATTTTTCTAACGTTCATTACAGCCAGGAAGTTCGTTATTTATTAAGAGGAGAATATTCTTCATCCTTTTTGAATCTTTATAAATCCTCTGCATATAGAAACGCACTCATCTATATACTAAAACCTACTATTTATTATTTTTTTTACAATTTGCCACTATTTGCATACTTGACACTAAAAGCTACTTTTTTCTCTTCTTTTTTTTTGAGAATTTGCACCACTTTAAATTCGCTAATAGTTTTTTTTTAAATTTCTTAAATAATTCTAACAGTTTGCAAGAAAAACTTATATCTTTCCAAAAATTTCGAAAGTTTCTTCTTCATTTTTGTAAGGGAATTATTCTGAAATTTTTTTACTATATGTGAGTAGACGAACCGTAAGCAGATCTATTTTCGATAATATGTGCGTTTAAAAATGATAAATAACGGTCTCTGGATATAGAACAGACAACCCTTTTTCAGGGACTTGATCCGTGTACAAGTAGACACCCGGAAGAACTCTTCTTCCGTTCCGTCTGGTATGCGATCGCTTTTGTTTCCATCTGTTGTTGAGGAAAAAAAAGAATTTTTTTTTGGCAGAAATGCCAATTGTAATTATTCTCCTTCGAATTCCAAGAAGGTCGAAAACACCTTCACCTTCATTAAGGACACGTTAATTTTTATCAGACGAACTTCCCCAACGCCTTTTTTCCCAACTGTTCGCTTTTGGTTCAAGAAAAAAAAGAAACTGTAAACTTTTTTTACAAATTTTTGCTTTAGGTAGGATCTTCAAAATCCTTATAAGGCTCTTTTCTGAAATTTTCGATTCGGTTATAGAAAAAAATAAATTAAACTTTTTTACAAAAATTATTCTTTTACAGGGTTGCCACTGGTCAATGAAGTTTGGAAATTCAGGGAAAAGTCAGGGATTTTTATTTAAAGTACAGGAAAAAATTAAATTCTTAGAATTCATAAGAAAATTCTGAATTTTGGTGCCTTTTTTGTTTTGCCTCGTGAATTATTAAATTATCACGAATTCTAATACAAAACCTTCATTTTTTTTCTATTTCCGACAAGAATGAATTTTTTAATATTATTTATAATAATTATTTTTTAATTGAAAAGTTTTAACGAAATTATCTTCATAAATAATAAAATTCTTCACTGAAATCCAATTATTTTTAAGATTTTTAATAAAATTCTTTGCAAAAATCAATTATTTTCATAAATAACAATATTCATCACACAAATTCAATTATTTTCATAACTAATAAAATGTTTCGGAGGAATTCAATTAATTTCAATATAATTTTAATAAAATTTCTCAAAAGAATAGAATTGTTTTTAAAAAATATTATTTAAATTCAATTATTTTCAAGAGTTTTAATAAAAATTCAATTATTTTCAAAAATTTAAATAAAATTCTTTGAAAAATTTTAAGTGGTTTTCAAAAGTTTTTCGCAATTCAATGATTTTCAATATTTTCTATTTTCATAAAATTTATCACAAAATTTAATTATTGAACAAAATTTTTTGACACAATTTGAACGAAAACATTCAATTATTTTCATAAAGAATAAAATTTCTTTTAGGAATTCAATTATTCTATAAAATAATAAAATTCTTTGCCATAATTCAATTATTTTCATAAATAACTTTTAAAACGTCGGAGAAAATCAATTATTTTCAAAAAATTAAAAATTTTTAGTAATTTTGCAAATGAATTCAATTATCTTAGTAAATTAAACAAAATTCTTCCCATAAAAAAATTTCAATAAAATTCTTGGCAGAATTTCAATTACTCAAAAAAAATTGAATAAAATTCTTCCCATGAATGCAATTATTTTCATAAATTATGATTTAAATTCTTCTCATAAATTTAATTACTTTAAAAATTTTAATAATCTTCTTAAAAAGTTTTCAATTATTTTTAATAATTGTGATAGAATTCTTTAATTCAATAAATTTCTGTCAAATTTTAATTAAATTTCTTAAAAGAAATTAATTATTTTCAAAAGTTGTTAATAAAATTCTTCATAAAAATTCAATTTTAAGAAACATTTAATTATTCAATAAATTATTTATTTTTGTATTTAAATAATTGAATTCTCGCAGAATTTTCTAATGAAAATTGATTTAAAAATTAATTTCAGTTAAAGTTTCAGATAATAATTGAATATTAAAAACATCAAAGAACGAGTTTTTTAAAATAGTTGAATTTTGAAAGGGTTTCGTATTAAAATCTTTGAAAATTTGAATTTTTCATACTTTTAACAATCAATTCTGCAAAATTAATTTTTTTTAAAAAGTTTAATTGAAATTTTTTTAAAAATTATTTCAAGTTTTTATTTTCTAATATCTATTTAAATGAAGAATTTCCGAATAGTCGATGAAATTTCATAAAATGGAATTGTAAGCAAATAGATTTGAAAATTCTCTAAAAACTTTTTCAAAAATTATTAAAAATAATTGATTAAAAGAAGAATTTTAGATAAAAATTTTAGAAAATAATAATTAAATTGAAATGATGAAAATAATTTTGAAAAAGTTACAGTAACAATATTTTTATAATATAAAATAATGATTTTATCACTCGGTCGTCTTTAATTGTTAGAATTTATTAAATTTTAAAAATATTTGAATTTAAATGTTTTGAAGAATTTCAATTCCTATGGAAAAATAATACAGATTAAATTTTTATTTAAAAAAGAAGTTATTGGTGTTTTCGAATAATTTTACAATTAAATTAAATAAACTTAAGAGAACATTTTTTTGAGAATCTAATAATTTTTAGAGTGAATCAGAATATTCTTTAGGGTCAGAGAAAAGGTCAAAATTTTGTCTGGAAATCAGGGATGAACAAAACTAAAATTTTGTGGCAACCCTGTTTTAGGGATCTTCAAAATCCCTAACGCCCTTTTCTCAACTCATTCGATTCGAATGAACAAAACTTTTTCACAAATTTTTGTTTTAGGATCTTCAAAATCCCTAATGTTCGATTCGGTTAAAGAAACAAAAAGTTTTCTTTTTTAGGATTTTCAAATAGTGAATGGTGAGGAAAGAGAGAGAGACAGAGAGAATCCTAATAGACGCTACGGCCATTCCTCTTCTTCGCGCAATTAACGTAAACATCGACTTGAAATACCGCCAATGTTGCTAGGAGAGAAGTTGTAATCCATGGCAGACACGTTCATGAAAGCTGGCAATTGCTATCATAAATTAAAGTTGGGTATGCAATTTTTGGAGCCAAACCACTCTCTTCTTCTTCTTCTTCTTCTTCTTCTTCTTCGTCTTCTTCCTATCGCAGCCAGTTATTGTTCAAAGAAGAAGACTTGTGGGTCTGTAGGTGGGGTTATAGTCGAGAAGCGAAAAAAAGAGAGAGATAGAGAGAGAGAGAGAGAGAAAAGAAGAGAAAAAAAAAAGAAAAGGTTCCTTTTATAACTTGGTGAGCATCGTCTTCAGGTGTCGACTATATAAAATGTGTTATACCGAAGAGAATCTGAATATTTCTTTCCTACACGGACTTTAATGACAATGGCAAATACCTGCACCTTCGACTAAAAGAACGTCTGCGACATGCCGTTATTTCCTCTCTCGCTTGCTCACAATCATGTAGCATTCTCTACATTTCATGAATTAACCATTCCACGACAAAAAGAAGAAAAAAAAACTCGCGGTCCTGGGAAAACGGTTTGAATTCGAGTTTGTCCTACCTTTATGTATATGTATATGTACATTTATACAGTGGCTGAATTGTCAAATGGTTCCAACAAATTATTCCATTCGAAATAACAATCAATCTGACGTGAGGCGCTGCTGATTCATATATGTGAATTGTAATTATTTCTTTTTCATTTTGAATATCAATGCTTGCTCATTGTAAATGGACAGTAAAATTTCATTTTCGAAAAAGGGAATTCCGTTTCTTTAGGCACGGAATAAACGCAAATAAAGCAAATATGCAAAATTTAAATTGTAGGAAAATAATAATAGAATGAAAATGAAGACAAAAATTTATTTTTAAATAACTCAAATCTTGATCAACTATCATAAAATAAATAAATTATTTAATGAATAATTTTACTTAAATATTTCAAAATTAATTCAATTTTAAAAGAGTTGTATTTACAATTTTCATAAATAAATGAACTTCAAACAGTTTCAATTTGAAATTTTCTAAAATTTCAATGTTGAATTAATTTAATTAAAAATTTTAATTAACTTAGATTTTTGAAAAATTTTAATGATTCATAATTTTCTAAAATTAGTTAATTTTTGTCATTATATGTTTAATTAATTCTTAAAAGTAATGGGTTTATAGAAGAATTTTAGTAAAAAACACTAAGAGAATTGAATTTTGAAGAAGTTACAAATGATTACAGAAATTTAATTATTTTCAAAAGTAATAAAATTCTTATCACAAAATTCAATTATGTTCAAAATTTACAAAAAAATCTCGACAAAATCCCAATTATTATCTTTAGAAATAAAAAAAACCTTTTTAAAAATTAAATTATTTTTCAAAAATTTTAATAAAATTCTTGGCAAAATTTAAATTATTTTCAAAAATTTTTCTCATTTCAATGATTTTCAATATCTACTATTTTCATAATATTTTGCAAAATAATCCCATTACTTAAAAAAGTTTAGATAAAATTCTATGCAAACGTTCAATTATTTTCATAAATAATAATACTCATTGTAGAAATTTAATTACTTTCAAAAATAATAAAATTCTTCGCAGAAATTCAATTACGTTATACAATTTTAAAAAATTGTTAAAATTTCAATTATTTTTCAAAATAATGAGATTTTTCTCCAAAATTCAATTATTTTCAAAATAATAAAATTTTCCAAAAGAATTCAATTATATAAAACAATTTTAATAAAATTCTACGCAAACATTTTTAATTATTTACATAAATAATAATAATCATTGCAGAAATTCAATTACTTTTAAAAAATAATAAAATTCTTCGCAGAAATCCAATTATTTAAAAAAATTATAAATTCCGTCGCAAAAATTCAATTATATTAAAAAATTTTTAAAAATTCTCGTCATTATTTCAAATACCTTTATAAATAATACGATTCTTCTTCAAAATTCAATTATTATTAAAAATTTTGATAAATTTCTTGGTAAAAATTCAATTTTTGTGTAAATAATAAAATTCTTCACAGAAATTAAATTATGTTCAAAAATTTTTAAAAATCCTCGTCAAAATTTCGATTATCTTTATAAATAATCAAAATTTTTCTCCAAAATTCTATAAAATTTAAAAATTTTAATAAAATTCTTTGCAAAATTTCAATTATTTAAACAAAATTTTCCTGAATTCAATGATATTCAATATCTACTATTTTAATTAAATTTTTCAAAAGAATTCAATTATTTTAAAAAAATGGTGATTAAAAATTCTAAGTGAACATTGAATTATTTTCAGAAATAATAAAACTCATCGCAAAATTTCAATTATTTTTAATACAATTTTAATCAAATTTTTTGAAAAATGTTACTATTCTAAAAAATTTTATTAAAATTTGTCAAATGAATTTAATTATTTAAAAATTTGTTAATAAAATTCTTTATAAGAATTCAATTTTAAGAAACATTCAATTATTCGAATAAATAATTTACTTTTGTATTTAAATAATTGAATTCTCGTAGAATTTTCTAATAAAAATTGATTTGAAAATGAATTTTAGTTTAAGTTTTAGATACTAATCGAATATGAAAATAATTTTTAAGAAGTTACAGTAACAATATTCTTATAATATAAAATAATGATTTTAACACTCGATCCTTTTTAATTATTATAAAACATAAAGAAACCGATCACTCCGAGTCGAAGACTCGGAGTAATCGATATCTTCATGTTTTATAACAATATTTTTAAAGTTTTTTTAATTTCAAAAAGGTTTGAATTTGAAATTTTTGAAAATCTGAATTTCTATGAAAAAATAATAATTAAATATTTAAAATATATAAAAAAGAAATTATTGTTTTCGAATATTTTTATAATTAAAAATATTCGTAAATAAATTTAACAGAACATTTTTTTCAATAAAATTTCTTCCTTTATTTTCTGATAATTCAAAAATTTTCAGTTTCATTTTCAATTAAATTTTCTAATTGACAAATATAATTTATAAACATTTTTTTTCTTTATTTTTAAAAAACTTTGAATTTTATTAAAACAATTGAAATTAAAAAATAGAATTGATGCATATTATTTCCTTATGAAAATTGAGAATTTTCTACAAAAATATTAAGAATGGATATATTTTTCATTTGTTAATCATAATTCTTTTTAAATTTTCTAATTTCTAATATTATTTTGAATCGTGAAAAATTAAATGTAAATTTTTGATTTGTCAAACAATATTTTTTAAAGTAAAAAAAAGCATACACAAAAACCAACTTCAAACTGCGAACAAAATTAATGAAAGAATACGAAGATTAATATTAGTTAATTTTGATTAATTTAAATTTCTTTTCTGATTTTCAGGTGGAAAAAATAAAGTCATCAGCAGTGGAGAAATAAAAAGAAGACACTTGGACAGCAGTGGAAAATGAAGCCAAAATAATTTGGACACCTTGCTTCGATTTATATTAGATACAATATATAGAGGGAATAAAAACATTAAGGCATGTGCACCATACCACGTGTTGATTTGATGCTGGTGCAATTTGAGTATCGCTGCCGCTGCTGCTGTTCACCAGCGTTTCATTTATATAAGCAGAAGGTGCTCGACGTTCCAATGTGGTAAAGTGAGACAGCTTGAATACGCCTAGGAGCAAGAGTCAAAACGAAAGACAGAGAGAAGAATATATATAGAGGGAGTTGAAATGGTCAGAGAATTGAAAGCAAAAGGGCGAGGTGGTGCAGGACTTGCAGATGGTGGAAATCTCGGGAATAAAGCCAGAAGGAGGGAAGGCAGCTTTTTTCGGGACTGAGGGGGTCAGAAGAGAAGGTGAGTAGCACCGGGCATCAAAAAATGCTTTAGTGTTAGTGTTGACGCTGATAGTGGTTGCCTCGATGCAACAGATGCCATGTTTCCCTTGGCACATGTGCTATCTATATATGCAATTGTCTCTCTCTCTTTTTTTCTACTTCTACTTTTCTATCTTTTTTCCTTCCATTTGGTAAAATAAAGAAGGAGAGAATTTACTTTTCTATCTTTTCTTCTTTAATCAAATTAAAAAAGAATAAATATTCTTTTCCATCTTTCTTTCTTCTTTAATCAAATTAAGAAATTATTTGATGGAATTCAATTGTTTACGATACAATTTTAATAAAATTCCTTGAGAGAATTTAATTTTTTAAATAAATTTTCATAAATTCTTTGCGGAAATTCAATTATTTTCGAAAATTGTAATAAAATTCTACATGAAATTGATTTATTTTCAATAGGTACAATTGTAATAATATTTGTCTAAAATTTTTTTAAGAATTCAATTATTTTCATAAATAATAAAACTCATTGCAAAATTTCAATTATTTTTAATACAAATTTTAATTAAATTCCTCGACAAAATTTAAATATTTTTCCAAAATTTGCATAAAATTCTGTAAAACAATTTTCCATAAAATTCCTCAAAACAGTTCAATTATTTCCAAAAAAATTTTATTATTCACTAAAATACTCGAATTCTTCTAAAAATGTTATTAAAATTTTTGAAAATAATTGAATTCTTGGCAAGAATTTTATTAAATTTTTAAAAATAATTGAATTGTTTTGAAGAATTTTTTGAAAATAATGTACTTTTTAAAATAATTTTTATTCAAAATTTTGAAAGTAATTGAATTTTATAAAGAATTCATTTTAAGTTTTTAAATTAATCGTGTTTATTGATAGGTAATTCTAAATATTAATAATTTTATTTTTAAATTTTATTAAAATTATTGATTATTGATAGAAAATTAAATTCTGTTAAACAATTTAATTAGGTTTTTCGTAAATAAATAAATTTGACGATTTTCTTTCAGTTTCTTGAAAATAATAAAGTTTTTTTTAAATATTTTTAACTGAAAATTCTCAGAACTTCTGAAAGTAATTGATTTTTTTAGAAACATTTTATAACAATGTTTAAAAATAATTGAACCCGTTCGAGAAATTTTATTCAAATTTTAATGGAAATAATTGAATTCCTGCGACAAATTTGATTATTTATTCCGCATGAACGAAATCCAAAATTGAAAAATTGAAAAAATGAAAAAAGGTCATCAAAAAATTTTTTTCCCTCTCTTTGCAATGAAAATGAAGAAATAAATTTAAGAATTCGGTTTTTCAAATTTTTCATAATTTTTGATAATTTTAGATTTTTTACCAAAATGTCGAGAATTATTAAATAAGTAAAGTGTTTTTGTAGAGCCCATAAATAATGAAGCTAATTGTCATAAAAGAGAAGAAAAATTGTTGAATTTTAGGAAATTCGGTTTTTCGATTTTTTGATAATTTTTAATAATTTAAAATTTTTTACCAAAGAGTCGAGACTATTTAATAAGTAAAGTAATTTCCAAAAGCACAAAAATAATGAAGCTAAATCCCATAAAAGAGAAGAAAAAATGTTGAATTTTAAGAAATTCGGATTTTTGAATTTTTTCGAATTTTTGATAATTTTAGATTTTTTACCAAAGAGTCAAGACAATTTAATAAGTAAAGTATTTTCCAAAAGCACAAAAATAATAAAGCTAAATCCCATAAAAGAGAAGAAAAAATGTAGAATTTTAAGAAATTCGGATTTTTGAATTTTTGATAATTTTTAATAATTTTAAATTTTTTACCAAAGGCAAGAGACTATTGAATAAGTAAAGTATTTTCCAAAAGCACAAAAATAATGAAGCTAAATCCCATAAAAGAGAAGAAAAAATGTTGAATTTTAAGAAATTCGGATTTTTGAATTTTTTCGAATTTTTGATAATTTTAGATTTTTTACTAAAGAGTCGAGACAATTTAATAAGTAAAGTATTTTTCAAAAGCACAAAAATAACGAAGCTAAATCCCATAAAAGAGAAGAAAAAATGTAGAATTTTAAGAAATTCGGATTTTTGAATTTTTGATAATTTTTAATAATTTTAAATTTTTTACCAAAGGCAAGAGACTATTGAATAAGTAAAGTATTTTCCAAAAGCACAAAAATAATGAAGCTAAATCCCATAAAAGAGAAGAAAAAATGTTGAATTTTAAGAAATTCGGATTTTTGAATTTTTTCGAATTTTTGATAATTTTAGATTTTTTCCCAAAGAGTCGAGACTATTAAATAAGTAAAGTATTTTCCAAAAGCACAAAAATAATGAAGCTAAATCCAATAAAAGAGAGGAAAAAATGATGAATTATAAGAAAATCGGATTTTTGAATTTTTTCGAATTTTTGATAATTTTTGATTTTTTACCAAAGAGTCGAGACTATTAAATAAGTAAAGTATTTTCCAAAAGCACAAAAATAACGAAGCTAAATTCTATAAAAGAGAGGAAAAAATGTTGAATTTTAAGAAATTCGGATTTTTGAATTTTTGATAATTTTCGGTAATTTTAGATTTTTTACCAAAGAGTCGAGACTATTTAATAAGTAAAGTATTTTCCAAGAGCACAAAAATAATAAAGCTTAATTCCATAAAAGAGTAGAAAAACTATTGAATTTTAAGAAATTTGGTTTTTCGAATTTTTGATCATTTTTGATAATTTTAGATTTTTTACCAAAGGGTGGAGACAAAAAAATAAGTAAAGTGTTTTTGAAGAGCCCAAAAATACTGAAGCTAATTGCCATAAAAGAGTAGAAAAAATATTGAATTTTAGGAAACTTTGTTTTTCAAATTTTTGATAATTTTAGATTTTTTTTGAATAATTGTAATGAGACTTATGAATTTTGCTTTTAGTCAAAATTCTCAATTTATAGGTTTCTGATGGCGAACGGGTGGAGCTGCTGGCTGTTAAATTGGGAATTTTTAGAAAAAAAATTCATAAGTTCTATTATAATTATCCGAAAAATTGTTTCGGTGCTTAAATTGTTGCTGGGTTATTGCCCAAATAAATCAATTTTTCTAGGTATTAATGTTGAAAATAATTAACAAAAATAATTGATTCTGTATACTTAATTAATAAGTAAATGTTTTAAGTTTTGAATCTAAAATTATTCAAAAATTGATGTTCATTTTTGAAAATATAAATTCTTGTAATTTGCAAAATAACAATAAATGAAATTCCGAGCTTAATATTAGTCAGTTAATAATAATGTTTAATTATTTAGAAGTTAATTTATTATTTTTCCAGAGATGGATAAACCACCTTAACATCCAGAAGGAAAGAAGAATAATATACTTTTCTATCGTCTTTCCTTCTTTATTTTGGCTTAAGAAGAAGGGAAAGAAATAAATTGACTACTATATAGTAACCTTACCCCAATCATCAGTGACGTGTCCTTCCCTTCGAGAACTCGACATACTCTATTTATCTCTGGCTAGCCCAATAGCCGTTTAACCCAAAAAGGAAACCCTTTCTTCGCCCTATATATTTCGCTTCCACCCTCTTCTTTCGCATTACTTTGTAATTTCCACTCTATATCGAACTATTCATCTAAAATTCACCCCTGTTTATCGTGTCGCTTTTTATATACATTTGTATATTCGCCCTAGAAACGTACAGGTGCATTTTTGACCTTGCGTCCAGACGAAAGAGTTTTTTTTTTATCTTTCATCTATTTTTTTCCACGTCCTAATCGTTTTTGTGCTCTTTCTTCTAAATGATCATTATGTCATTTGTTAAAATTTTCTTAATGCGGCTGTTTTCTTCAGAATGTTATGAATTATTTATAATTATGAAAAGGTGGATCAATTTTCATTTATTAGCTTTGAAAAATGGTTTTCATGCTCTGTTAAAAAAAGGGGGAGAAATTTTAGTGTATACACACGAGTTTATTAAATTTCAATTTATTAAATTCTAATTATTCAACTTCAATTTATTATATTTTTTTTAGTAAATTTTAATTTACTAAATTCTAATTTATTAAATTTCAATTTACTAAATTCTGATTTATTAAATTTCAATTTACTAAATTCTGATTCATTAAATTTTAATAATGTTGAAGGTAGAAATTAAAAGTAAACTATAAAGTAATTTTTAGTTTTTCAACTTTGGAATTTCGCCTGGAATTTTTTTCCTTTAACTTTTATTTTGAAATTTTCGAACCCCGATCAAATGATGTATAACAAATTTTTTATGGTTTATTTATACAGAAAATCTCTCTTTTATATAAAAAAAAAATATCGCATATGTAAAGTATAAAAAAAAATCAGTTCAACTTTCTTGTCACTCAATAAAGATTGCATATATTTAGAGAAGCATGTCTGCCAGAACAATATATCCCTCGCGATCAACGATCTTTATCGATCTGATATTAAAATCAGAATGTAAATTATATTACTGGTAATTACGTACATCCTGCAGATGCACTTGGTAGACATTCGAACGTGGTGAAAGTTTTGAAAATGGGTCGCACTTTTTTCACAGCTGTGATTTTTTTCCGCTGAGATTTATCAAGTTTTTTTTTCTTCGCCTTTTTTTCACTTCTTCCAGGTAGAGATTTAACGGTGGTGTTAAAATATTTCATTCCACGCGAAAGTCGCTTACGAAACGGCCGCTTCGGAGTTCTAATTATTGATTTTTTAATTTGCGAAAAAAAATTTGTTTCATTAATTAATTCTTCTCTCAATAATTATATATAGGTATTTTTAAATTTTGTCTAGAAAATGTCTAATTAAAATGGATGTAAATTTAATATATCAGGGTTGCTAGAAAAATTTAATTTTTCCTTGATTTTTACGCAAAATTTTGTACTTTTTTCCTGACACTAAACAATTCAACAAATTATAAAAATATAATTATGAAACATGAAGAAATCGATTACTCCGAGTCTTCGACTCGGAGTGATCGATTTCTTCATTTTTTATAATTATTTAAATTTTCCATAAAATT